AATGTGTGAAACACAGTGTACATAAATGAAGCACGAAGTGTACAAATTTTATGTGCAAACCAATATAATTTTTTTTTAAAAAAATCAAATAAAAAGAGCAATGTAGAGATGTAGCAGGTGCATGCAGCCAATTTACAGCACTTGCCTGAAGGGCTTTAAAGGGGAAATGATAATTTAGTTCCAGGGAGAAACAAAGAAACAGAATTCACTGCCCAGCTTTCTCTTCTCCACTTGCCCACTCATCAGATGTTCATGTCTATCCTCTGATGTTCCTTCCAAACCAGAAGTGGCAGAAACTCATATTTTTGGCGTGTGTTTGGTCAGTCTTGCTGCATGGAACTTCAGCATTTTTCAAGCTGAAAGAAATCAAGGAAGAAAAGGATCAAGTCTAGAGTTTTAATAGTGAAGCATTTTGTGAACAAAGTATTATATGACACAGAAAGCATCAGAAGACAGAATATTCATGTGTCAGAAAGGATTGGTCAGTGTTCAATATTTCAGGGATTTGTATACAATTAAGAACCAGTTGTACTGAAATAAGAAGTCTAGAGTGCTCTGACAGCGTTGGCAAAACCAAACAACCAACTCCAGGAATTGGCAGTATACCAATATGGGCTATAATGCAGCCCTCAATGTGCTCATTCAGCTATGACAAAAAATTTAGAAGACAGCAAACTGAGCAACTACTGAAAAAGATCCACATTCATGCCCATTCCAAAGAAACCTGACCCAGCAAAATGTAGTTATCTCACAATATCTCATGCAAATAGAGTTTTGCTGAAGAAAATTTAAAAATAGTCATCAATAGACAACTGCTTAGAATTTAAGCTGGATTCACAAGAGAATGTGGAATGAAAGATTTCAGTATTAATTTCAAATAGAAAGCAGGAAATATCAGAAAAAGGGTTTACCTGTGATTTACTGACTGCAAAACCATCCAGCTGTATGGAGCAAAACACATTATTGATAAAGAAGAATGGGAATTCCAGAACACATAGTTGTGCTCATGGGGAACTCATATATAGACCAAGAAGAGCTATTAAGACAGAACCAAGAGTTCCTACATGATTTAAAAAAAGGAATGAAAACAAGATTGCACCATTTCACCTTATTCTCCAGTCTCTATGCTGAGCAAATAATCCTAGATGCTGGATAATATGAAGAAGAATGTGGCATCATTATTGGAGGAAGACTCATGACATGCAGTTGACACAACTTTGCTTGCTGAAAGCAGACTGGCTGAAGCTCTTACTGAAGAAGATCAAAGACTACACACAGCCTGCAATATGGGTTACACCCCAACAGAAAACAAAACAAAAATCCTTGTATTTGGACCAGTATCTCATTGGAATTGGCTTGAGAAAGACTGACAATCTATTCCTGTGCAATTGCCTGTCTCTGAAAATCCTCTGGAGGATCAGCTATAAGCTGATTCCAATATGACGGTACACAACAACAAACGTATGTATGTAGCTGGTACCATTGCTCACCCTCTAGGAGGTTTTCAGATGCAGTAAATTTCATGGGTAGAAATTACTCATCTTTCTCCTGCAGAGCAGCTGGTGGATTTAAACCACATACTTTTGTGTTGGCAGCACAATTCTTTACCACCAAACTACTCAAGCACCAGTAGAAAATGGGAATTATTGAACAATATCGTGCGTTCATGCAATATAATTGATATCATGCAAACAAAATATTGTTGAAGAGCATACAGAAATAGAACATTACATTGAAAGGGAATTTCCAGAAATTTAAGCTGGGTTTAAAAGAGGCCATGGCACCAGAGATATTATTGCTGATATCTGATGGATCTTGGCTAATAACAGAGAATATCAGAAAAATGTCTATCTGTGTTCTATTGACTATGCAAAGGTATTTGACTGTGTGGATCATTACAAAGTATGGCTAATCTTGAGAGGAAAGGGAATCCCAAAACGCTTAATTATGCATATACGAAATCTGTAACTAAATCAAGAGGCTATGTCCAAACAGAACAAAAGAACACTGCATGGTTTAAAATTAGGAAAGGTGTGTGTCAGGGCTGAATCCTCTCTCCATACCTATTCAGTCTGTGTGTGTGCTGAGTACTGTTGAGTTGGAAACGATCTGTAGTTGACTCTCCAGCAGGTTTTCAGAAGCAATTAATCACATGGAAGGAGATTGCCCATCCTTCTCCATAGAGCAGCTGGTGGATTTGAACTGTGTGCATTCAGAATTGCAGCACAGGTTCTTACTGCTAGGTTACCAGAGCTCCCTTCATTCTGAATGCTAGACAAATTATTGATATGGGCGGGGGGAAGGGTGACATCAGAATTGTAGGAAGACTTATTAAAAACCTGCTTTATGCAGATGGCATAACCTGGGTCGCTGAAAGTGAAGAAGATCTAAAGTACTTGCTACATAGGATCAAAGACTGCAGCTTTCACTGCAGATTACCCCTCAGCATCAAGAAAACAAAAATACTCACCCTTGGGCCAATAAGCAACATAATAATAGATGGAGAAAAGATTTTCATTGTTAACAATTTCATCTTGCTTTAATCAATAGTCAATACCCTTGGTACCAGAAAGGAACAGGAGATGTATAGCTTTGGGAAAATCAGCTGTCAGGAATCTCTCCAAAGTCTTGAGTGGTAATGATGTCAGTTTAAGACTAAGATGTGCTTGATTCAAGCCAGTGTTTCAAACCACATGATCTGCATCTAAGAGTTGGACAATGAATAAGGATGACTGGAGAAGAATTGGTGATAGTGATGTTGGAGAAGAGTGTTGAATATCCCATGAAGTGCCAAAGGCACAAACAGGTGTGTCTTAGAGAAAGTGCAACCAGAATGTTTCTTGAAGGGAAAGATGGTGATGCTTCATCTCACATAGTTTTTACATTGTAAGGAGAGGTTATTCTTTGGAAAGGAAGATGGTCAACTAAGGAAAGGAAGGTACTTGATGAGATCGATTGATACAGTTATCTGTGGCTATGGGCTCAAATGTGTTAAGGATGATAAGGATGGCACAGGATAGGACAGACTTCAAATTTTTTATTTGGCATTTAGTAACAACATAACATATGCATTACAAAAGTTAGACAGTGATTGTGGAGACTATTAATTTAGCTTTTAGTGAAAAATATTGAATGTTTTGTGAGACACTAGAATGTTCTGTCATACAGAAGGTCTTATGGGTCAGAATCATCTTAATTGTACATAACAACCACATTTAGCAGAGTTCTGTCCCTCAGGGAACAAACCCCTTCTTTCTGTTCTCTTAGCTATTAGTCTCACAGGCGTAGCCTCCTTAGCCTCCCCTCCAACTCACCGCACTGTCTTCCTTCTCTCAGTTGGATGAACATCAAGGAGGAGAAAGAGAGGGATGTTATTACTTGGCCTCTGACACAGCTCTCCACATCGTGGAACCTGTTCCCGGCCTCACAATCACCTCAGCACTGCTGGAGCTGCAATGCACCCTCAATGATATTAAGCCTCTTGGTAGCAGACTGTCTTCGACTCATGCTGCTGCTGAGAGCCGGCTAGTCCAGCGGCTGTGAGCATGGGCTGCAGGCATGCTGGGCACTAGTGTGAGTCCTGGCTTGCTCCCTAGCAGTACTGTGACTTTGGCGAGTTACAAAATCTCTTGAGACCTCAGTTTTCTTATCTGTAAAATGGGAGTACCAGTATCCATTGAGTTGCATGATTTTCAGGATTTGAGTAAGATAATGTGGGCAGAGTTTCTTCTACTTGAAAGCATTCCATAATTTATTTGTTACTATGGTGTACAATATTTTAAAGATATTAAAAATAAGCTTCATTTTACTTCTCTCTGAGATCCTTCCATGCTCAGATAAAGCTGAGATAGTCCCATGATGTTGGTGGATAATTCTGTCACTTCGTGATTAAGGAACAACTTAGGCTACTACTAATTCTTATTTTATGAGCACAGGCTGCCTGCCTCTCTTCCTTTGGCATCAATTTCATTTTCAGAGCTGATGGATAATCAGGAATATTTTCCTTCAAGCCTGGATCTTAACAGTTCCTTCTCTTTCAAGTGATATTCTTTTCAAATCAAGATGAATGATACCCTCCTTCCTGAGTGTGATATGAGCTCCATGAACTCCCTCACACATAAAGCTCAACTGAAGTATGACTTTGGACTCAGTGTGTGAGAAGCCTCAGGAAAAGGAAAAAAAAAATAAAATCACACTTCATTAACAGGATGAATGGTTTTGGGGGGGAAAAGTCTGTACAGTATACACCATGCTAGCACATTTCCAGGACACAGTGGCAAATTATCAAATCAAGCTGGAGGTGTAGTTAGGAAAGTTCTCCTATAATTTTGAGTTTCTCATAAAAGATTGTTGTGATTAAATCAAATGGCTTACACCCAGTGTTTCAAGAGAACAGTGACACAAACTCATCCTCAAGTCACCTTTGAATTGAAATCTTCCACAATGTCCTTCATGACTTTGCTGTTGATTTATGAAGTGTTTCTGTCTGTGTTGTAAGGTGTTGGGAATTGGGGGTAGACTCAAATTCCAGAAAAAAAAGCCACCACAATCTCTCTGTCAGAACACCAATAACCTTTCTCTTTGCTCCAGGAAGATGCCTTCCCTCATGTCAAAGTGCTTTGTTTTTTGTTTTTAATCTTTTCCGGTGCTCTGGTATTAAAGTGAATTCCTACTGAGGCCCCTTTGGAGTATGAATATCACATATGCAATAGGTTTTGTCCATTCTGACTTTTAAAGAGATAAATCTCAAAATGATGCCATTGCTGCTATTGCCAAGATATAATCAGTATAACATGCCTTTGGGGGCTATAACTCAACCCCAAGATGTTCTCCAAAGAGAGACATTTAAGATTATTCTTTTTGGTTCACTCCTGAAGATTGTTGTCACATCATTTATTATCTTGATGATTGCTACATTCCTAAGCTGTGGTTGCTGTGTAGAGAGACAGATTATCCTACACTTTGCTTAAAATGTTTACTTTTTTGTTTTTTAAAACTAGGTGGCTGTACTACAATCCCAGAGTCAGACCTAGAGGAGAGATCAGGAGAACAGGAATCCACAGGACTGTTTACCAACCATAAGCACCTGCTTGCAGACACACCTACACCTGGTAAGACAGCGGGAAGCCTCCACAAATGATGCGTCAGTCACAGCAACACTGATGTTGTTTTAGCCGGTACCAGCAAATATTTTGCAAAGCTACTGTTTTACTTTTTCATCCTTCTCTTCTGCACTGGTGTGGCTGAATCAGCCCATTTGTGTATTATTTTCATTATTAATATCTTCTCTCCCCCCTTGACAGAAGTTTCACCCCTCCATGGAGTCTCGGAATAATCCAAGTCTGTGTGACAGGAAGATGCCCTTCCCACAGCTGACACTATGGACCTCATGCCAAGCACAGATGGGCAGCTGGGCCACGTGCTTCCTCCAGCTCACCTTCCACGAGATAGCATTACTTACAGATGGGAACAGAATTTCTTTATTTTTCTAGAAGGATTTGTAATTCTCTGAGCAAGTTGGTTGAAACTTGTCTTGCCAGAATAAGATGTGACTGAGTTTTGGTCAGATGAATGCTGACAGTCGGAGGATATAGTAAAACGACGTAGTTCAGTAATAGACTTTATAATGCAGACCTAAATAATTTGATACCCCATTTTTCACAGGATTCTTATAGAGTAAATGTATCAAATTTAATAAAGCATCTCATTGGCAATCAATATCTTGTATTTGATTTATAATTCAATAATTTATTTTTCTACACTGTTATTTCTTCATGGGGAACTCTAGAGGCTGGGTTTTATTACTGACCCAAAGGTGATGCTTCTCTTGTGGTTCTAATCTACCAGTGGCTCTGCAGGAGAAAAATGGTAGGGAGAGTCCCACTTTTCTGCTGTTAAATCTGCTCAATTTAAACCTAGCAGCAAGACTGGCCAGTTTCCTCATCAGTGTCTACATTCCCTGTTTATATGTTATACCCAGCCACGTGGAGACAGACAAAGGCAATAGCCTAGCAAAGTCATTTTAAATAATAAATTCACTATACCACATAAGAAGTGGCATAAAAATGCAGAATGTACATTCTTATTTCTAACATTCCTTTGTAAGAAGTACAGCAGAAGATGTTAAATTCATTTTAATTGTGTAGGGAAGGAGTCCAAGTTCACCCTTAGGTTACTTTTACTCAATATACAGAGTTGATATGGATCAGAATTGCCTTAACAGAGATGGAGGCTGGGTTTTTGTTTGTTTGTTTGTTTTATGTTATAAGGACAGTAACAATATTGAATGGATCCACACGTGGCTATACAGGTATATGCTGCTTACTGTTCAGGCAATGTCCAACCACATACGCACCCATTAACACAAAGTCAACTCATTGCTGTCACATTGCAGTCAACCCACAGATGACCTTCCTGTGGGTTTTCCAAGGCTATAAACTGCATGTGAGGAGACTGCCCATCTTTCTTCCTCAGAGAGGCTGATGGATTTGAACAGCTACCTTTTAAATGAGCAAACACTCTTAACTGACTGTGCACCCTACCTTCAACCTTTTGCTGAATTGGTGAACTGTCATAGTACAAACATCCATCCTGTTTTTACCCACCACAACAGTGACAAGAGCACTAATCAGGGGCTAAGTTCATCCCCTTCAAGGGTATTCTCCCTGGCAAAAATCACTGAAAGAAGGTCCAGTCATTGGTTCTGCCAGCCCAGTCTAACACTTCTAATATAGAAACAACATGGCCCCAAAAGTTGCCAGGATGCCTGTGTTCATGACCTCTTGAACATGCTCTAAGATAGATTAGGAGGCAGGACTGACCATCCTCTTCTGAAATAACAGGCCTCTTAAACCCTATCAATAACAGAACGTTGTTGACATAGTGCCAGAAAGTGAACCCTTCAGTTAGAAGACACTCCAAAAGTAACTTGTGAGAGCTGCCTCCTCATAGTAAGTTTTACCTTAATGAGGTTGATAGAGTAAAGCTTTTACCCCATGAGGGACCTACATTTGCTAATGTGTCAAGAATGAAAATAAGGAGAAACAGCTGCAAACATTCATTAATAACTGGAACATGGAATGTCCAAAGTATGAGTCTAGGAAAGATGGACCAGTATGGCCATTTTGAATTAGACAACCCCATACAAGCTTATGAGGTGAGTGAAAATACCATGGCTTATGTTAGACAGCCCTTAGTTCTCAAAGTGACATCTTTACTTTCTAATATTTTAACATGATTTAAAGAGGCTAATAGGAAGACAACTAGGAGGCTGTTGTGTGAACAGAGCAGGAGAGCACTACATGGTTTAAAATTAAGAAAGGGTTGTGTCAGGGTTGTATTCTCTCTCGATACCTACTCAATCTGTATGCTGAGCAAATTATTCAGTAGTTGGACCCCATGAAGAGGAGTGTGGCATTAGGATTGGAGGGAGTTGTTGTTATGTGCCGTCGAGTCGCCTGCGACTCATAGGGACCCTATGTACAACAGCCCTAAACTCTGCTCTGTCCTGTGCCAATCGCACTGTCTCTGTCACTCCCATCCCAATTATCCCAGTCACTGAATCAATCCACCTCATAGAGGGCCTTCCTCTCCTGCGCCGTCCCTCCACCATCCCAAGCATGATGTCCCTCTCTAAGGACTGGTCTCTCCTCACAACATGTCCAAAGTAAGTTAGATGGAGCCTCAGAATCCTTGCCTCCAAGGAGCCACCCGGTTTAACCCTCTCCAGGACAAATCTGTTTGTTTTCCTAGCAGTCCATGGTATTCTCAATACTCTTCTCCAGCACCACAGCTCAAAGGCATCAATTCTCCTATCCTCCTTGGTCATTGTCCAACTCTCTGATGCATAACAGGTGATTGCGAAGACCATGGCCTGTATCAGACGCACCTTAGTCTCCAGAGAGACACCACTGCTCTTCAGCACTTATCCATAAATAATCTGAGCTATGCAGAAGACACATCTTGCTTGCTGAAAGTTAGGAGGACTAGAAGCACTTGCTGCAGAAGATCAAGGAATGCAATCGTCAATACGGCTTGCATCTCAATGTCAAGAAAACAAAGATTCTTACCACAGGACTAATAGATAATGTCATGATTGATGGGAAGAGGTTGAAACTGTCAACAATTTTATCTTACTTGGATCCATAATTTACTCACTTTGTGCCAGCAGTCAGGAAATCAGGAGACATATTGCGTTGGCAAAGTTTGCAGTTAGGGACCTCTTCGAATTATTATTTTTTCTTTAATATTCTACTAGTTTACTTACAAAATTTTAACACATTGTTTTTCAGAACAAATTCCTTCAACTTTTCTCACCCCACCCACAGAAAACTGTACAACCCCATGATTAATCCTCCCACACCCTACACACCCTCATCCTTCTGCTTCCACCTTCTCCCACCCCTCTTGGATCCTTAAACTCATTCTATAATAATGATTTTATACAATATTTATCCTTGTGGACTGAGTTGGTTCACTCAGCATAATGCTCTCCAGCCTCTCCCAAGTCAGGTAATAATTTACAAAATCATTGCTCCTGCATGCTGCGTAGTATTCCATTGTGTGAATGTACCATAATTTCTCAATCCATTTGTTTGTGGTTGGACATTTGGTCTGTTTCCATGTTCTTGTGATGGTGAATAATGCTGTTATGAACATTGGTGTACAAATCTCAGTTTGTGCCTCAGTTCTCATTTTCTCAGGGTATATTCCAAGTAGTGGAATAGCTGGGTCGTATGGAATTTCTATGTTCAGCTTTTTGAGGAAGTGCCAAACTGTCTTCCAGAATGGTTTTACCATTTTACAATCCCACCAACAATGTATAAGAGTTCCTTTCATGCCACATCCTCTCCAACATTTATTACTTGCTGCCCTGTTACACTTTGCCACCATTACAGGAGTGAGCTGGTACTTCATTGTTGTTTTGATTTGCACAACCAACCACAAATTGAGATACTTGGGAGCGAACCTAACTAGAGATACAAAAGCCCTATACAAAGAAAACTACAGAGCATTCCTGCAAGACACAACAAAAGACCTAAAGAAATGGCAAAATGTGCCCTGTTCATGGATAGAAAGACTCAATATTGTAAAAATGACAATGCTACCAAAAGCAATCTAAATGTTCAATGCTATCTCAATCCAGATACCAAATTCATTTTTCAAGGAGATTGAAAGGGAAATTATCAAATTTAGTTGGATAGGCAAAAGACTCCAAATAATAAAAACACTTCTGAGAAACAAAAATGAGGCTGGAGGCATAGCACTCCCTGACCTCCAAACCTACTCCACAGCAGTACTAACCAAAACAGCATGGTGCTAATACAATGACAGGCACATAGACCAGTAGAACAGAATTGAGAACCCCAAGATAGATCCAGCTATCTATGGTCAACTGATATTTCACAAGGAAATCAAAGCTACCAAATGGGGAAATGGTAACCCCTTCAACAAATGGTGCTGGCAAAACTGGACTTCCCCTGCAGAAAGCTGAAACAGGATCCACATCTCACATCATACACAAAAATCAACTCAAGTTGGATCAGAGACCTGTGAATAAGGCCAAAACCATAACATTTAGAAGGGACAAGTGGGGATCAAGCTTAGAAGAGCTAGTCCGGAGCTCTGGTGGCCTAGTGGCAAGAAGCTGCGTTGCAATCACGAAGGTGCAGGGTTCAAATCCACCAGATGCTCTGCTGGAGACAGAGGGGCAGTTTCCCCTTGTACCAATCGGATCTGATTTGACAGTACGCATGCTACACCCACACACAAAATAATAAAATAAAAAAAAAAAAAGAGCTAGTCCAAGGTATAAAGAGACTGCCAAATACAACCAGAAATACACAGTCTAAAGAGGATAAAATGGATGTATGGGGCCTTCTAAAGATTAAATCAATGTGTGCATCAAAAACTTTTCCCAACAGGGTGAAAAGAAAACCTACAGACTGGGAACAAACATTTGGTAATACCATCTCAGACAAGAGTCTTATAACAAAAGTTTACAGAATATTCCTGGGTCCCCACAAGTAAAAGACTGATAACCCAATTATAAAATGAACAAAATACATGGAAAGAATTTTCACAGAAAAAGATATTTGAATGGAAAACAGACTCATGAAGAAGTGCTCCAAATTACTGAGGAATAATGATGTTAGTTTGAGGACTAAGGTGCGTCTGATTCAGGCCATGTTTTTTCTGATCACTTGCTATGCATCAGAGAGATGGGCAATGAATAGGGCTGACAGAGGCAGAGTTGATGCCTTTGAGTTAATGGTGTTGGAGAAGAACACTGAAAATCCCATAAACTGCCAAAAAAAACCCCAAACCCAACAACTC